AGCTCGGGGGGGCCGCGATGCTCTGGCCTCCGGCCGCTGCCTGCCATGCTGCCTCTATGACGTCATCTCCCCGCGCCGCAGCGGGGCTGGCCCCGCCCCGCGCTCCCATTGGCCGGCCGCGGCAAGATGGCGGTGCCCTGGCTGAGGTGAAGGAGCAGACGCCGGAATGGCCGCACGTTGGTTCCTCGGCCGCGCTCTGCCCGCGGTCCGCTGCGTCGCTCGGCTGTACTCGGAGAACGGGCCCGCGCCCCCGCCGCGCCTCCCCCGCGCGGGCCTGTACGAGCTGCTGGGCGTGCCGGCCACGGCGTCGCAGGCGCAGATCAAGGCCGCCTACTACGCGCAGTCCTTCCGCTTCCATCCGGACCGCAACGCGGGTAGCGAGGAGGCGGCCGCGCGCTTCGCCGCTGTCAGCGAGGCCTACTTGGTGCTGGGCAGTGTCGCGCTGCGCCGTAAGTACGATCGTGGCATCCTGAGCAGCCAGGACCTCCGCACGGCCGGCCGCCCCTCGGGCCGCGACGAATCGCCGCCGCGCGCCCCCACACCCGCTTCGCCCCGTAGCCGCACCGTCCGGGCCACCGGCCGCCCGCCCCAGCCTGTCTTCGACTTCGACGCCTTCTACCGCGCGCACTACGGCGAGCAGCTGCAGCGCGAGCAGGAACTGCGCGGCCGGCGGGAGGAGCTGCGCAAGCAGCGCGAGCAGGAGGCAGCCAAGGGCAAATACAGCGGTGCCGTGGAGGTGTCGGCCTTCCTGCTACTCCTGCTCATCGTGGGCCTGCTCATGCAGAACTGAGGGCGGGGCCTGGAGCAGCCTCCCTGTGCCCACCAGACCCAGCCGGGAGCTCCCCCCACTCCCTGCAAGAGACCAGAGCCCTCTGCGGGCGGGCTGGCAGTGCCCCACACACTGCCCCGCTGTGCGCTGGCTGCTCTCGGGAAGCTGCAGTACGACTAGAGCCCCTCAGATCCTCTTTTGAGACCAAACTTCATTATATGCCCAAAAGCAGCAGCAGCATCGAGCCTCCAAGCAGCCTGGGTGAAGGTTCCTCTCCTTTGCTTACCTGGCAGGGGTGGGGTCCAGGGAGCTGCTGCGCCCACTCCCTGTTTAGATGTAGATGTTAGGGGTGACCTCAGTTGCTGCCGTCACAAATTCAGGCCCTGGATTGCTTGTTCTCATGGGTATAGAGTGCACGTCACTCACAGTCCTGGACTTGCATCCAGGCGTAGCGTGAACCCGTTCTCATGGATCATATTGCAAAACAGGGACTGACTGGATCTTTGTCATTTTTGCACTGTAAGAGCAAGGGGATTGGACTCTCCCTGGTGTGGGCTGACAGTTTGTGGTCTTCATGTACCAGGAACTGTCAGGTGCTGCTTTTTTAGACAGCCTGTTGACTTTTTTTTTTTAAGCAGCTTCCCAGTGTATGCCAGGACTTGCAGCACTGGTGACTCATTGAACAGACTTCCTGTCTGTACCATTGACACATCTCCCTTTTCTCTTTTCCTGAATGCTTGATACCAAAGGTTTTCAGGTTTGGTGGAACATGAGAAAAGCCCAGTATGGTGGCAGCAAGCAGTATGTCTTGTTTGTAAAGCTGCCTGGCTTGTCCAAAGGTACAGAAAAGTTCTCGTCTTTCCAGTTCGTAAGGGCATCCAGTTTTTACAACTGGGGACCCTGTACTGTAGGTGCTGACTTGTGTCATATCTTAATTTATGTATGGATAGCAGGGGTTCAGACTAATATATTAATTTATGCAAATTCTTAAATCTTAAAGAGTTTTAGGCATCACATGAGGCTTCTGCCTTGCACATTGGGTGGGGTTTTTGAACATGTTGCTTTTGAACTTTGTGTCTCAGCACAGAGTGAGTGAAATCTGTTCCCCTTTAGTTCAGAGTCTCACAGGGTCTCTGGTGTGCCAAGAATGTCACTTTCACACTCTCTGATTTGTACAGGATCCCCTGGTAGTGTCTTGCAGTCTCAAGCACAGTCTCAGCCTTCTGCCTGTCACCAAGGGAATTATTTTCCTGCAAATGAGAACGTGCAAAAAGTGAGTCTGACATGTCCCCAGGAGCCTGGAAGGGACAGGAGGGTTCTGATAGGTGCGTGCAGCTTCCCACTACCTGAGTGTTCCCTAATAATTGAGCCTTGGGCCAAAAGGCAGCAGCGTGGCAGAGAGTCCAGTGCAGGACAGGGTGGGAACAACTTAATAAATGTGAGGTTCTGAGGGCCCATGAGAGCTTTTCAAAATAATTCTACCCTTTAAAATGACATAGTCCAGACATACTTTCTCTCTGATCAGAGCACCTTTGTCCCAGTGACTAGTCTGTTCTGCCCCGGTGATCATTTTAAGGCAAAGGACTTGCTTTCTTGGACCTCCCCTATTGGTATTGAGTACTGGGGTTAACGCAACCCCACACCCCATCAGGCTGGGAGGGATTCTGGGTCAGCTTGTGAGAAGGTGCTAGGAGTTGTTTGGTTCTGGGATACGGGCTGAGAACTTCCATGGAGCAAAAGGGTTGTGGCTTGGGGTCTCAAGTCATTTTCATTCCACCCTTTCTAAAGCCTTTTACAAATGCATTTGGCCTGTATGCTTGTTTTACATCATGCAAACCTGACTCCGATTTGGGAATGACATCCCACTCTTTACTAGTCAATCCTTTAGAAGAAAACAAATTGGAGGCACAAACGTGCAACAGGGAAATGTGGGAAAACAGGTGGGAGATGGTGTTCCTCACTCTGATGGCTAATGCTGGCTCTGAGTTGGCACTTTATTTAGTTCCTGATACCTGGGGGTCTTGGGTAGACTCCACATTCAACTGTGAACTCTGCTGTGGGTTTGTGATGGCTCTGGTATATTGCAGGGGAGCCCCTTCAGGGATGCTGCTGCTAAGAATGGGTTTTAGTAATTTACTTTGTGATACTATCATAAATTGGAGTAGGAATTCACCTGCCGATCTACCCCAATACCCATGTTGCTCCCTGGCTGTGTCATGCTGAAAGAAGTCTAAGTATTTCTCTGAGATGGAGGCCTCCTGTGAGCTGTAGTTATGCTCTGTGCCTGGGTCAGACATGTTTGTGGTGCAATATGCTGTGCTGTTAAACCGCTGTAAGAATGTGCCTTAGAGTGGGGACTTGTACAAGGACAGTGTCCCAATCACTGACTATGGGGAGGGGGCAAGAACATAAAGCTATACATCTTGTTTGCTGATTAAATACCTGTTTCTTTTTTTTCCTTTTGCTGGGCTGTGGTTTGCCTTTTATCAGTAGGTCCACCCAAGACTGCTCCTGGCCTCTCTCACCAAGATATTTCATAGACATAAGGGCTGGAAGGTACCTCGGAAAATCATCAAGTCCAGCCTCCTGTCCCAGGGGCAGTAAGTCAGATGGGATCACAGGATCCCAGCAAGATAAACGTCCAATTGACCCTTAAAGGAGTCCAGAGT